GCATGTCAGCTGATCGAGATGAATAGCGCAGTCCGGAACGCTGTTGTTGAGCCATGTTTCCGTGAACACAAAAACACAACAGTCTCTTACAGTCCTCTGAGTTGAGCGTAGTAGTCGGATGTAGTCCAGTTTATTGTCCAAAGAGCGTACGTTAGCCAGTAGGATGGTGGGGATAGCTGGTTTGTGTGGGTTAGCCGCTAGCCTAGCCCGGATACCTCCGCGCTTGCCCCTCTTCTGCTTCCTCTCATGCCGCTTGTGGTGCCTCCGCTGTGGGCGAGATGCAGTAGTGGGGGTCGGTGATGGTGTGGGCCTCCGGAGCAGACCGAGATCCCACAGCTCTTCGGCATGCGCAGAGTTTAACTCTATAAAATGTGGTTCTGCCGACATCAAGCAGAAACTCACGACTGTATGCGTGCTTAGAGACAGATAGACCCGACGAATACGTACAAAAACACTGCGACTCACAAGACAAAAAACACGAAAACACCTTTCTGTCGGGAGAGAGAGAAGCCACAGCGTGAGAACGCGCCGCCATCTTAGATTTTAAGAATCTAAAGATTACGCTTGCACTATGCCATCTAGGTCTCTTTAGTCAAATTCTCATTGCATCATTATAAGCTACTTGCAGCTTCTGTAAACTAGATGTTCTATAGTTGAACCACAAATGAGCAGTATAAAGTGTTGTACAATAGGCTTTAAAAAATGACACCTTCACCTCATCTGAACAGAAACTAAACTTACGTAAAAGTATATTCGCCTGCATATACATCATACGGCGTTGCCTTTAAATATCCTCATTATTTGTCATGCTCTCAGTGATGAAATGTCTAAGGTATTTTACTTTCGCACACATTTACTCTTATTAGACAACTTAAAAACGGGAAATTTTATACTTTTATCCTCCTTAGTTCTGCAAATCATAACCACACTCTTATCGGGATTATATAAAATATCATGTTCAATCAGAACACATAGTTAAAAAAGCTGTTGAAGACCAGCACTGCTAGGACTAAACACCACAAGATCATCTGCATACATAATATGATTCACTA